TATCCCCCGAGGTAGGAGCCCCTTGGCCCTGGGGCTCTGTTGCCAGCTGCACCTCGGCCCCGGCCTCTTATGCTGCCTGCTGGTAACAACACAGAAGGGTAAGCTGCAGACAGTGAGAGAGCAGCCCTCAGCTTACAGTTCTGGGCATTCAGTGTGCCCTGCGTTGAAGCCCTGTGCCTTGCCACATTTAGTGCGATGAGTGGCCACATCCTTGGCCTTCAGTGGGTTCATAAACTGGCTTGCAAACATTCTGTTTCAGCCTAGATGGGCGCCCTAAGTCTGCTTAGCACAAGACACCAACTTCCCAGGTGGCTTCCTGGGACTGTAATGGAAACTTCAGTAAAGGAAACCATTCAGAGTGTAGAACAGTTAGACCTGGAAAGGGCTCCCCTAGTCCACCTTCCTCATTTTAGGCTTCAGGCCCAGGGCTAGGGACATTAAGATGACTAAGTCACAGACCCAGCGATTTGGACAGCAGACCCCAGAGCCCAGGTTATGTCTTCCAGAGTCATGCTTTCCTCACAACCTAATCACTGCTCATAAGCAAGGACAATAAAACTTAGCGCTGGACTAACATCTGAAAGACTGAATTGTCAAAGTCTTTAATCTAAGTTCCCTGAGATGGGTCGGCCTGCCCCAAGGCTTGAGGGGTGGAGGCGGCTGGGCCCCTGGATTTACTGCTGTCTCACAACGATCTGTATTTCACTCAGAGCTACAGGAGTGACTGCCTTAGGGGCCAGCAAAGAGAACCCAGACCCCAAACCCAAAGGCAGAGGGCTCAGCGTCCATCAGCTCAGTACCCCCAACCACTGCACCCCAATGCCCCTGCCTAGCAGGGGGACCCCTGGGAACAGGGTCTCCACTAACCTTTCACGAAGTAGTCCCTGTTGGGTCCGATAAGCGCGTTGTAGGGGTAGCCGTAGTAGGCGAGCGTGTAGGGGTCGCACGAGTACACGTAGCTGGGCGGCTGTGCCACAGCCTCGGCCACACCACCGCCCTTGGCCGCCTTCTGGTAGCGGGAGTACTGCTCCTTGTCCACTGGCTTGGCCAGTGTGACCTCGAGGCACGAACCCT